CTTAAAACATGATCACAACATCATCTGCGGGCCTTGCAGGGATTGCCATGTATTAAATTGCATCCTGCTACACTCATGCCCAGGTCCTTCATCTCCGTACAGCGTATTCTCAGAGTTCTCAAGTTCTGTGGAAAGGAAAGATTTTAGGAAGGAACGGCACGTCAGGATTGGGGTAATATTTTTGAAACCACCGGTGATGAAGTAAATAGCCAATTTCCATTTACTCATGAAGCAGTTACCTACTCTCAACAGAAAGGCAGTTGGCAGCTGAACTGCTCCTGACAATTCTCCCCCTAGAAAAACCTGACCATTTAGCTCGAATTCATCCATAATCCACTCTGAAATCTGTAAATTTGTTAGTTTGGAGAGCCAACGCTTACTCCTAGACTTAGACACATAATGTCATTCTCCTTTCTCAGATGTAATTTAGAAAATCGTAATAAATTCCTACAGAGATAGATTTAGCATTAAATATTTACTAATAAGTAGTGCACTTACGTTTTTGCGCATGCATATTTAATAAACGGGCTTTACTTTGTCTTGAGTTGCATAGCAGAGTTTCGAGAGTTTCACTTCCACGTTTCTGACAGAACAGGCCTCGGGGTGTGGGGTGGGGGTGGGGGTTCTTTTTGTTTGTTTCTTACATGCACCTTTTCCTTAACGGGGTGCCTCCAGAACCTTCCCCGCAGCGTCCGCCCAGCATGCCAACAAGCCATCCAACACCGTTTCACCAAAACGCCGTGTTTGTTAGCTTGGAGGAGCAGAGTCCCAAATGCTGTGTGAAGGATTCACGAGACAGTAACAGGGGACACACGTGCTCGTGGACCGGAATTGTTGTTATACAATAATAAATAGCCATCTACGTAGCCGACCATTAATCCATTAACGGCGCTGATTTTTCTCTGCCCAAATGTTATAAATTACCTAAACATTTCGAAACAGAAGACCCTCTGGGGACTTTCTGGAACCTGTCATTTGTACAGAAACAGCGCCTTTAATCTTTAATGGCTACTTTACATGTCTGAAGATTTTTAAACGGTTGAAATGTTGGCGACGTTAAACATGCTAAGAAATATTAGCCAACTCTCATCGCAAATTTTGTTTTTATACCAGATTTTCCCTGGAACGAGCTACTAATGGTGCGTCGGCCAGTGAACGACCGGTGACTTTGTGTACAAATACTGCTTGACACAGATCGCCTGTCATGCCAGGCACCCTCCCTGGCAGCAAAGCCTCGCTGGCCCTCGGGCTGCCATTTTCCAGAAAGTAATTCTTACCCCTTTCTCAAATTACGTCCTCAGAGTCTGCACACATGGTGGAGAAAACCGTAAGAAAAGGAACCTTTTCAGAGAACAATGTCACTGCGGAAGAGGCGGGGCCTGAGCGCCATCGCATGTGGGTGCTACTCCGGCTCCAGAAGGAGGCAGGTCCAGCCGACCACAATTTTATGAGCAGGAGTTTAGAAGTTTTGCTCACCATCAGTTGATCTAACTTGTCAATTTTCAACACATGGAAGATATTAGCGAAATACTGTAGTTTTCAATAGACCCACGGATGTAGATGCGTGTAGAGTTCTAGTATCAACTCATACCCTCAAAAATACACACACACACACAAATTAAAATTTCAAGTATGCAAATTTAATGTCTTTGCGGATGATGTATATGTGATAATACATGTCTATCTATGCCATTTATATTATTGTAATTAGTTAATTTGGAGGATACTTTTATTTGTGCAGTTGTAATGTGTATTGTAATGAATTGTGGGCACTTTGATACTTTTCTGTGAATCAGACTTAAATGTGATTGTCCAAGAATTCAGCCCACGTAGGCGTTCATGCAGAAAAGCGCCAACAATTGTCGACGACCCTTACCACGCCTGCTCCAAAGCGGGGCGGGTCATCCATCACAAGGAGCTCACGCGTTAGGATTCCGGATCCTTCTCGCAAAGGGTCTCGGCCCTCTTGCCTCCCCTGGGCCTCCCTGCTCCCCGTCACTCGACTGGCACTGGGGCGCGCGCAGGCACCCCCTCCCCCCACACCCCCCTACACCCGCATGCAGAATGGCCCGCGTCTCAGAGTCCGGCTCTGCAGCACGAGCTCCTCCCTTCGAGCTGCGGGTAATAGTTTCTGCTGCAAATGCCCTAAGCTGGAGAGGCCCCGAGCTGCAGCTGCAGCGAGCGCGGGCGAACGGGAGGCTCCGAGAAACGCCACCGCGGAAGGCAACGCCTGGCCTGCAGCGTGGCTGGCGGAGCGGGCGACGGCGGTGTCCTGGACGGGGTCCGTCGCCGCTGCGGAGTTATCCCGAGTGGAGAGCAGTGTGTGGGCGGTGGGGGCGGCCGCCGCGCATCCGCCGCGGGCCATGGCTCCGGGGCTGCGCCGTCGCCCAAAGCAGGCGCCCCGCTCGCCCCCAGCCCTCCCCTCCCTCCTCCTCCTCCTCCGTCTCTGCCCCCCCCATACCATTAATGCTTTGAGGAATCAAAGTGGGATTTCTGTTCCCAGACTCAACTTATTGCAACTAAAACTAAGTACGGTGAAGAAATGGAGTTTGGAAAACAAAAAAAAAAAATGAGAGTTGAACTTTTCAAGGATAAAATAAACAAGCCATGTTTGCATCGCCATGCGACAGAATCCGTGTTCTGAAGTCGTTCCGGAGGGACGCTTGATCTTGATTCAGGACTCAGCCTAGTCCTGCTCTGCGTCTGAGGACCCCCAAACGCATTTGCCGGGAAATTCAGTGACCCCCCCCCGCCAGGCCGTGTGTAATGCACACGCACCGGGACCCCCGGAAGGAGCCCCACAAATCTCTCCGGGTCCGAGGCTCCGTGCTCAGGTGCCTCAGCCTGCTGAGAACGCATCCCCGAAACGTCTGTGCGTCTGGATGCGTGCGTGTGTGCGGGTCCGTGAGTGCGGGTGGACAGCTTCGCGAAACTGCAGCTGCGGCGGCGGAGTCCTTGAGAGGAAGGGGCGACAGCCGGGCGCTGGGCCCGTGACCCGGCGCTATTAGGGGAGGAGGGAGCTGCGTCTGAGTCATCGCGAGCCTCCAGACTTTCCCCGCAGTGTGGCCGAACTTTGTGCCGATGAGACAATGGTGGAGCGTGTGCGTTTCCTACAGGGCAGACCATTCCCGGGCTGGGGGAAGCCTCGGG